AGCACCCTCCCCATCCCCACCTTTGCTAAGAGTTTGAGCTGGGGCATTTTTTTTTTTCCTTTCATTGTTGCTCTCTTATTTAGTTTTAATCACTTTAACTCTACATTTGATCAGATGTTGGTACATTTGAGCCCAGAGGTCCAACCTTATCATACAGTATATAATAATTACATTATCAAAACCACATGCACTGTTTTTCATTCATTCACGTGAGCATCTGTAACACTTGTGCTGAGGTAAACATGGACCCACTATTCTTACTACACATTCCCTAATCTTTTATATGTAAGACTACTGGAAGAATATAAAATTCTGCTGCTGTTGATAAAATGGGAATTTCTTACACCTTCCAAAGTGAAAACAAAATTTCACTCTTTTCAGTGGCCTCCTAACACTGTTCCTATATTACAATTGTCTTGGTAAAATGACAGTGACTCTTTACATTATGCAGCATACCTTGTGAAATGAATTTCTGCATCATATCGCAAAGGAATCGATAAGCTGACCTGGTTGTCCAATTCTTGCTCTTCCTTACTTTCACTGTTCATCAAAACATGTGTAAATCAGGTGTTACAATATTATTTTATACAAATAAGTTATTAATAAGTAACTTGCTTTCATATGATCACATACTTTACCTTAATGCATGAAGACTTATAACTGCCACATTCTGAAGATTTTTCAGGTTAAAATCAAAACTAATGTCAAAGGATACCTATGGCAGAGACAAGGAACACAGAGTAAATGAGCTGATGGTACAACATCCAGAAGACTTCTCAACAGCAACATAATTATTCATGTGTGCAACAGTCTAGAATTGCTCTCTGTACCTGAATTCTCCACCACTGCTGTACAATATTTCAGTAATTTCTAATTATTTTCTAGTTTATAACACTCAAGAATTGCTTTGTTCTCACTTGACCCTACACATTTGCATTGTTACAAAAACGTGAGCTATTTGCATTTTTAAATTTTTTATAAGTAGCTATAAGATTCAACCAAAGGTGTTCAGAATTGCTTCAATTACATGCTTTTAAACACTAGCCTTAACAGAAGCTTTGTATTTACTCTTTTCTTCCACTTGTTTCTACTGGTCTGCTTTGATCAATGCCATTAAAAATTCAGAACAAACAACTTTTTATATGTAATTACTTAAAGAAAAAAAATAATTTCTCCCCACCACAGAACATAATTTTTCTACTTTTTCTGTAAAGTTTCTTATTGCTCCAGTTGATTGTGTTAGAGACTAAAAGCCTAATTCTGTTCTAGCCTTGAGGAATAAGAGATTTAAGTTCCTTAAAACCATGGATATCCTTAGGTTTATGGTATATATGAGAAGAATATACGACCTATCCTAGGGCTGTGTGGGCCACCCATCTCCTTTCAAAACAATACTGCTTTCTCGGAAGATGAGGTTGACAGAGCAGGAGAGGAAGCTACTCCAGGTTCACATAGCAGGAGTTTAACAGGAACTGAGCTCCATTCCCAAGAGGATAATGCATGATGCTCTGCTTTTGTTTCCAGCCCTCACCCTGCAAGAGTTACAAAGCTACAGTAACATCTGAGAGCTGTGTGTAGGGACAAATGTGCTTCAAGAGCCTTTTTTCCTTTTATCCTTTTAGCAAAGAGTCACAAAAGTTTAGCCCTTAGTTTGCTTTTTTTAATGGCTCTAGAAACCAAAGGGAAGTTAACTGCTGCCAAATCTAAGAAATCTCACCAGCAGTAAATGCTGGTTTAGGGGAAAAAAGCAATACAAAAAGCTTTTGGGTATAATTCAAGGTTATTTAAACACAGTAGCTTTACCTGTTGTCCTGTTCTGAAAACAGGATAGTTTATTTGACAAATGACCGTACTTTGTGCCATTCCTGTCTGACAAGAGACTTCAGTCCCATCAGTCTGCAGAGGAAACAAGACAGAAAAGTCATTTTAATAGCATGTTTTGATAAAGCAGAGCAGAAGTTACCAGTCTCTATCTTCAACAAGACAGGAATTACGCTAAAGGAGAGTACAATAAGTGTAATGGCAGTAATTCCTGGAGATGCAAAGGTTAGGGTGGGGCATAGGCCAGGCTAGAAGAGAGGAAGGAGAAAGGTGGGACAAGGACCAGTACCATGCAATTACTTGTAAGCTGTAATAATCTTTTTAGAATTTTGTGCTGGGCTTCGAAGAAGGAATACATAATAGGTAGTACAGGCCACCTCCAGCATTAACTTCCATGGTGCTTTTTTACAGCCTTTCTACAGAACTTCTGCAGACGTTATTAACATGACCCGAGAGCTAGTTAAATACACTCACTGTAGAAGTTAAGTGTGAAGACAGGAACCCTGTTGTACTTTTTGTAGAAAAAACAATGCATAAGTTTATTTACTTTTGCAGAACATTTAGCATGTCATCATCCAACATGAAGGACCAACTCTTAGACGATAGCCAGTTATCATCACTTTGAAAAGAATTTCTTAAAATGTACTGCCTTTTGTTACAAGCATTCCTAGCAGACATTTAGCATTTATGAATCATGCTACAAAAAAAAATAAGCCAAACCAAACCAAAACAATACCCATACATTCTCAGATTATGCTTTTCTTTCTCCTTTGAAGCACACACATTTTTGTCAAGAGCTTAATTTGCAGGGTGAAATACAGTTCTAAGTAAATAGGATTTTAAAGCAGAAGAGAGTCCTAGCTCCAGTGTGGTCTTTTGGCATGAGTGACACGAGCCAATTTTGCTGCACAACAGGATGGGGAGGTAGAGGGGCAACCTCCATGCTGTGTGGAGTACTTCTGCCAGTTCATTGTTCAGGAGAATGCTGCTCTTGGGTAGTGATGAATGTTCCTGTCCCTCCCCTCCTCTCCTCTCAGTACAGCGCTTGCTCTGGATTTCACCCCTATGATTATCATTCACCTCTCCAATAGCAGCCCGACCTCTCAAGCCAGGCACCGAATTTTGAATTTCATCCTTTATGAACTGTTTGGGAGCAACAGTTGAGATTACAGATTTACTGCATTCCCAAAATACTATGTATAATTCCTTTCTTTTCCAAGACAGAATTCATTTGAAGAAGAGCTTCTGGTATAGCAATCATTTCAATCTGATTAACTGTCTAGCTGGAACACGTGGCCTTGGCAGTAACACTATTTTTAGATCCAAAGTCTGTGCTTTAAGGCTGCATCATCAATGCTGCATGCTTAATTTATCAAATACAAATCCCTGTGGCACAGCAACCGTATTCAGGCATGTTGCTGGGAGTCAAGTAGAAGATGTGGGTGCCCAGGCCTAAAGTGAGGAAAAGATTACTGACATACTGAGGCGAGGTCAAACTCAACAGGTTGCCAACTTTCAGGCTGAGTTGGCAGTGTTTCTCCTTGACCTAAATAAACCAATATGCTGGAGGGGACAGTTCTGGTATCCAAGAAAATAGATTGGGATAGAAGTTTGCACACATCTTCTTTCCTAGGATAGGCACTACTAGAAAGAGAGAAAAAAAATCTTTGAGAACCTTAAAAATCAGTGGCAGTAACAGAAACAGCAAAGCTGGGTATCACTTACTGGTAAAGATGATGAAGCAAAAAACAAGTTGTCTGAAAATGTGGCCTGAATTCTAGTGTTATATGCATTTTCCTTTTTATTTCTCAATTTCACGTTGAATGTTAGTCTTCTGTTTTTGCTGCTGACAACAAACTGCTGTTTGCTGTTGGAAAACAAAAAGTCCACTGTTGTAAACAGAGGTAGGAGAACAGCTGTGGATCGTGAAAATGTGTTGCCTGTAGCCAACAACAAATAACAAGCACAGCAAGACATTTCCTACATTCTAAACACTTAAACACTTTGCTTTCCAAACCCTTTGACATAAGAAACTGTGATGGTGTTTCTTAATTAGTGGCTTCTCAAAGTGATTATGTATGGTCAGAGCCACTTTGCTGAATTTTCAAGGCTGTACCCTGCTGGGAATGTGGGCAGAGTGTGGGCAGCAGACCTGGATGGCAGCTTCAGAAAGCTTCAGAAAGAGGCAGCCCTGCCTCTCTGCGTGCTGTACACGTGTGCGTGTATGTCTGCATATGGACTTGGAATATGTGCTGCCCAAATGGGTGTCCACAGCTTCCCAGCAGCACAACCTGCTGCAGGATCCTCACTGCTCCCCATGGGAGGGACCAAGATGGCTGCTGCAGCCACTGCTGCTCTCCTGGTGGTAACACCAGCTAGTCAGACACATACATCTAAGCACTCACTGCATCCTCATCCCTAAGGTATCAAAACGTGGTTTTGTCTAAGCTGACAAGAGTCCTACTTCTATATCTGAGTTCCTATCATAGCTCTTTTTCCTTAATTAGTTATTTATACAGAAGTGCTATTGCCTTTTTTACCCCTGCTACTGTTAAGTAGATGTTGAACTAGGAAGGCATTCTCATCTAGAAATTAATCCAAAGCCTACAGACAAACTAACTGGTGAAAACTTAACACCCAACCCCAAAAATTCCACTGATGCAGCTCTTACCCATCATCTGTCTTCCGCTGAACATTCAGAACAAGATCACAGATACAAAGTTCATCTTCACCACAGTCTTTAATAAAAGGAATCTATGAAAGCCAAAAACATTTCCTGAACGACAACTCAACTTTAAAATTTTCTACAGACAGTAGAGTGCAAACACCTTTGAAATGAAGAACATTCTTAGTTTGCAGATAAGAAAATCCCTCTGAAGGGCATTGAAAACTCTGACACATGAACAAGTTAACACTGAGCAATATGTCACTACACGTCAAGCAATTCATAACAACAGTGCAGGCAGGTTGTCGTTAACCCACAACAAATATGATGTAATCAAAGGGGTTCCATCTCCCTTATGTACTGTTTTATTGAAGGATAAACTTACCTAAAATGGTTCATCTTTGCCACCAACTAGGAGTTCACAGGAACATGGCAACACGGCTGAACTAACACGCTTGTTATGCCATGTTGGCTGGTGCACATGTCTGAGCAAGCACATGCATTACAGACAAAGGTATAGAGAGAACAAGGGGACACTCCCTCCAGATGTCTGCTTTCAGCCCACTGACCTAGCTGCAACACCAGTTTTCACTTGCATGTACCTCTGTGGTGTTTGAGGGGGCCACACATGGGCATGTGCAGAGCCACACATTTTTTGACGTTAAGTCTGCATACTTACACTATAGGCCACAGATGCAGGGGAATAGATATCAAGCACAGGGCTGGAGCCAGGAATTGCAAGGCCAATGTCAATGCGCAAACTAAGTGAATTCACTGCATCGGAAGGTTCCTGTAAATCAAATGGTTTAGATGGTACCTGTTAGCACAGCAAACAGGGCTATTCTATTGTAAAGAGAATGTATAATGAAATACTTGCTCCAATCAAGAAGTAGTAACAGTACAAAGCTCCATTTCTTGACAAAATAGTTTTGTGAGATTGCTTAGTGTGGGCTTCTCTTCTTTTAGTGCCATTTCTGTGATAAAATGCATTCTTCTAGGATGCCTGGAGACTATTAATCACAGTTCCTTCTAGGGCTAAGGAACATGCAAATTCTCTGCAGCTGCAGAAGCTGGTCCTCAAAAGCCATCACCAGGTGACTTTCATTCTCATCTGACTACAGAAGTCAAATTTCTATTCCATTCTGCCTTACCATCACAGAGAGCAGCTGGGCCTGAATGTCACTAAAATACAATATCCTTCTTGTGTCCTCTGGATGCATACTGGATGAATACTCCTCTAGCCCTACTGCTCCATGATGGTAATAAATTTGATTAATAAGTCAGTGATATTTGCACTGCAAAGCACAGCATGAATTCAAGTCTTCTACCTGACCTAGCATCATGCAGGGAGCTCAAGGCATCTCTCAGACCTGTGTTCAGTCTTTGATTCTAAATAAAGATGGAGACTTGCTTATTTTTATTTTCCTAGGTGTATGTCCAGCAGCAGCGTTCACCAGAATTCTTCCTGAAATGTTGTTAGTTTGACATACATTTACACGTATGTCTTAACTCTTGCAGAAGAATCTACTCAGAGGGAGATTGAAATCTGTTCAAACTATGGACTATGGGCTCTGTGTTATGTCAAAGCCGAATGACATCATTAAGTACTTCTACTTCCATCCTAAAAAGCTGTGCTGAATTTGATAGATAGTGAGATTCTGATTTCAAAGAAACTAAGTATTTTTCAGCTGTGGGGGATCTGAGAAACCTAAATCACTGAATACACCATTCATTAAATTAATCTTGTACACATAAAATTCATCAATGTTTTTTTCTGATCATTTTTGTCATATAAGACAGCTTGTAACTGCACTAACCTGTACACTGAAGATGTCATGAACACAATTCTCCTCATGACGTACCACAAGATCCCTCTGCATGTATCTTTCATTATTTTCTTTGAAAAAGCCTCTAGAAGTCACTCTAGAGGACTGGAGGTCTGCATCCAACGTTGCATTGTACTTTATAGCTGCAAGAAGATTAACAGTATGTTTTTTGATTAGTATGATTGACCATGATCTCATCGTTCCACTCAAGTTACAGAGTGACCAGGCTTTCCAAACCACACTAAATAATTTATTTTTTTTTACCTTGCTAAACACAGAGCAGACTCAAAAGGAAAAAAAAATTATCTTCCAAAGGAGTCGAACAGGTTTAAGTGCTGACGTAAGTTCTCATCCACAGAGAGGACATTAAATGGCAATCAATCCTGTCTCCACTGCAGATGTCTGAGCCTGCAGCTCAGGCAAGAAGCCAGTCAGCAGGGCCAGGATTATGCTAGGTAAAGGGGCCTTGCAATAATATCCCTGAACTCTGAAGAGGCTGTAACAAATCTTCATCTTCTCTTCAATCACATAATAAATTCTGTCCTCTTCACATTATGACTAATACACTGTGGAGGTTCACCATTATTTTATAGCTCATTCTGAGTTTTTAAAGGTGCTACACACAACACTAAAGCAGTCCAACTGGCGTTATCCATGATGTTTGAGTACATAACTTCATGAGAGACCAGTACTAGTCTCAGAAATATTTGGTGCTCTACAGTCCTCTGAAAAGAAGAGCTTCTCCCCATTGACATCTGCACTGAGCCTATGGAACTTTTTTTTTTTTCTGAAGAGAGAAGAAAAGTCTACAGTCTGCTGTTGAAACCAGTAGGTTGAAAAAAATCAGCTTCTCACTAATGGTATTTTCTGGAGTTTGTTGAGGAGCAAGGATATACTTTTATACTATAGTTTATACTGTTAATTCCTCACTTTACAAAAATGATGCAGCTAGTGATGAAACTAGGTCTTAAAAACACTTTCTCAAGCACTTAAGTTTTATATTGATTTTGCCTTTCTTGACATTCAATCTAATTTGTCTTTAGAATTTCCACCACTCATTTGAATAATGGACTTTTGAAAAAAATAGTATAAGACAAGTCATTGAAATACTCTTACCCACTTGATTATTTCTCTTAGCAGGTCTAAATGTAGCCTGAAAACATATTTTGACAGTTATTTCTGTGTTCTTGTTCAGCAGACTGATCTTCTCAGGCTTAAATGAGGCAATTATGGACACATTTGCAATGCTTCGTGACCTGAAAAATATTTTTTAAAGGTTACATGTAATTTTCAAGAGCACTAGGTAATGCAGAAGCTGTTATCTATTACTATCTGTAAATTTAACATTGATTTTTTGGTTCCAAATATAAACATTTTTAATTGCAGCAGTGAAATTGTTTTTCTTTGTGTGTAGGTGAATTTGTTGATACAGTAGCTTTCAGTAATGGCAATAAATAATTTATCATGTCAAATTAATGGATAATGAATGTCTTTATCCAAATGCTCTAATTCTTCCCTTAAGATAAAAGAATTGAAGCCCTTGTCCTGTTTTCCCAATAGATAACCTTCTGCTCCCTTAGGGAAGTTACTCAGCTCCTCTGGGAAGGCAGCTAAGGGTAATTCTTCATTTTAATTATCTTATTTTTCAGGAAAACAACTTTTATGTCGTTTATCAAGATTCTGAAGAACAGTTTTAGGGGAACCCTGCATGCAAAAACAAACACTTTAATCAAAAGTGAAACTCATTCATCAGACCAAATGCAAGGGTGAAAGAAAAATTAGCATCTTCATTAATCAAATCTAAATAAATGCTGGTACTCCAAGGAGCATAATTTTCTTTAATGAAATTCCCACCGGCACCAGCAGTAGTTCTATTGTGGGTCAAAGGTCCAAACTGACCATTCATTTCTAATAATTTTGTTTCATTATGAAGTAAGTGGGAATTCAGTGATGTTTTTCTTCTTACAATGGGGAGCCTCAGGCAAGAAGATGGGTGGCAGATAGGATAGCAAGCTGCATTTTAATTCATCTCCTCAAGCAAGTAGTGGAAAATACACAGTACTTAGGGAGGCAGAAGACTTGGATTCTGTGAAGCCTTACTTTTATTTTTTAAGTACTCAGATTGCTCTGGCAAAGGTCACAGGCCAGAAAGGATGGGTTTCTTGCCAGAAATAAGTGCCAACTCTCTTTTACTGCTCTCTGTCCTTACCCTGCAGGACAGCTCTCTCCCCCATATCAGCCTACCAGCCAGTAAAAGTCACACAGGTTGTGTGAGAAGTGGTTTCATCTGTCTCAAGCTCAGCCATCAAAATTACACTGTGGCTTCAGAAGTACAACCTGCTGTTACAAATACTATGAAGCAAACCCCATTGCCTGCTGCTGCCCCTTCCCTCTAGACCACGTGCTTGCACACGGGTGTCTCCCGGCCCAACCCGTCCCTGCTCAGGTCCCTCTCAGCAGCCCTTGCCATCTGGCTTCCCCTTGTGTGTGCCACGTCTCTGCCCCCCATGCTGCCTTGGCTTTTGATGGTTTGATAAGACCTGCTTAAAAGAGGTTTAGTCTAATGCTGCTGTTCAGCTAGTTACAATAGCAGCAGTGAGGCAGTAAATGTATTAGCTCTGCACACAGGGAAGGAAAGAGCGTTTTGGTTTGCTTCTTTTGCTGTTGAAATAACTAAATGCTCAGCTTGTATCTGAATCATTAAGGTCTTCCTTTCTAAAAGGGTTTACCAACCATAGCAGAACCACATTTCCATCAGCACCAACTGATACGTCAGTAATGTCATCGTCGCTTAAGTCTCTATGGCCATCTACTGATCTTCCAAAGAACTGGAGCCGTTGTCCAAAAGCAGAATCTGAACCTAAAATTTTCTGTGAAAGAAAGCTTGGTTACTGAGTTTGCCACAAACGTGCTTAAGTCTGCAGATAGCAGCCTAAGCAATAGATTTTTCACTGCTACTCCCTGTATATGTAATGTATTGTTTAAAGAAAATGCTTCTCTGGACGTTTTCTCAGATGCTTTTAAGCACTTTTCCCTCCCCTGTTGGAGCAGACAATGAGCTAGATATTTTGTCTTGGGAGTAGATCAAGTAATGGACTGCTGTATGCCAGCTAGTACTGGAAAATTTTTCCATCTCACATCATGAGCCACTTGTAGCATATGAAGCTTAACAGGACTTCTAACAAACACTTTCTGCAACCAGAAAGTCTGCATGGAAAGTGACATTAAAGTTACCCTTATATGAGCATACAGGATATGCAAAGACCCTTGAAAGTCTTTTGCTTTAGTACAACATATTTCTAATTTACAGAGCTCGGATTTATCTAATCTTCATTGCTGGACATCAGTGCTAAAAACTTGAATAATGGGTGTCTGGAAATTCACTGACTTCATATGCAGGCACCAAAAGTTATAAAAGGCTCGGATGCAGCATCTTGCAAGTCATTTTCCTCTATATGCTTCAGTTATAAGCACCACAATATCAATTAGGGCATGCTGACATCTAGTAAGGAGAGGAACAAGACTTGAAGTAAGCCATGAGAATAACAGTACTCCTTTAAGACGATGAAGCAGCAGCCTATTAAAAGGTGGAAAATTCCTGTTTTCTTCTAGCAGATCTAAAGGCACCGAGTGCAGCATTATTCAACAAAGTTATTTACCTGAGAATATTTGGTACGTATAGTCTTTTGAAATCCATTGTAAACGTAAATTGCTCCAGAGTTTTGGTTTTCCAGTGGTGCCCCTATTACAACATCATTAAAGCCATCCAAGTCAATGTCTGCAAGCATTGCGATCGCTGATCCAAAGCGAGCATTTTCTGACCCTTGTGGACCTTCCAAGAGCTCTTGTTTATCCAGAAGACCCTTTGCAAGAGGAAAAAGCAGAAAAAGCAAAAATCCAGCTATCATTCCACCAGATTACATGTAGGAGCATTATCTATGTGCATTGTTTTTTGTTTCTGTTTTCCAGTACATTCCCCTTGGACTGCTCAGTCTTGAATTCTTTCCCCATTGTATTGCCCATTCAGTTTGCATTAAGTCTGAGAGTCTTGGCAAGCATTACACAGCAAAATCAAAGCATGCTATGCAAAGGACTAACAGCAAATATAACCATATGTATGAAGCTTAAATGCTCTCACTGTCCTCATCTGACTGTTCTGAAAGTTTCACAATACATTGAAAATACAGTTTCCAGTTTTGGATTACCAGTTTTTATGCAGAGGGAATGGAAATTATGTAACTGGACATAATTCTTTGAAACAGAAATGGAATTTCCTAACTAAACTAATGCAAAAAACATGTGTCCAAATGCTAAACTCCTGACCTCTCCAGTGCCAGTGAAGAAAGAAAAATCTGAGATCTTTATAGTTAAATAATCACATTTACAGTACTTTAAATTCAACTAACTGGCAAATATCATTCTCGTCTTTAACCTCAGTTATCACACTGTACTTAAAACTTTGGAAATACCAGCCAACTTATTTATTAAAAATGACTAGAGAAGTATTATTTGCACAACATGGACAAGCTGCACAAATCCAAGTTCTTTAAAAAAAAAATAAGATCAGTCTTTCATTATTTTAAACTTTTACATAATTTTAAACCTAGCATTTGACAAAGACAAGAACTTGTAAGGATAGTCTTCCAATTTCCTCAGCTTTCAAATAATGAAAAAAAATTCCACTTCCAGCCCCTCCATCTACCTTGAAATTGCTGTAGGGTACAGCTTCCTGTTGCTCCAGGACAATCTGTCTGTAAGCTGCTGCTGAAGGGGATGACACCTTCCTCTCTATTTATGTGGTTGGAATTTACCTAGTAAAAAGGCCATGTTCTGTTTTCTCTGATGAATGGCAAAATTTACTTCGCATACCTAGACATCCAATGATACATTGACAGACTGTTCAAAAGTGCCATCAATTTCAGGACTGTTAACACAAGTATTCTGAAAACACCTACTACAGTTCTAAATAAAAACCACAGTCAGTCAAGCATCAGACAAGTAACATAGCTTCACTGAAAAAAGGAGGTAAGATAAGTAATAGGAACCATCCAGCGTGAGAGACTATGAATGCACATAACTAGCAGAAGAGTGTTTATTAGATTTGTTTTGGGAATACCATCAAGTGTTGAACTGATTTGCCAAAATCAATGGCAAACAATTAGCAAAAGCCTCAATGTAAGTTTTTCAGATAAACAGTCAACTTTGTGTTACATTTGTGAACTGTGCTTAGCACAGTGCCTAAAAACAGGACCATGGAGCCACCCAGAGCAGCAGGCCATGGTCACTATTAGAGCTGAGCTACTAATTTGCTTATTAACTCCATTTTGGTCTGTTCCAGATGGTTTATTCCCAGATTAAATGCACAAGCAGTTCTGGGGAAAGTTTACATGTGGTCCTGAAAAGCAGAATGAGTGAGATTGCACTGGGAAGGGCTCCATCCACAGTCCTCTCTAACCAGGCAGGCTTGGAACCAGTTACCTCTGCCCTTAAGCCATAGCCCATGGAAAACACACGCTCCATTTCTCATTGCAAAAACACCACTTGCAGGATTTCTAACAGCGAAAAAGAGAGACTAAACAGTGACATGGAGGCCCTGAAGAGATTCAGGGCACACGTCTTGTTAGCGTGCATGTGGCCAGCCTGCTTTGAAAGAAGCTAGCCTTAAGCAACGCTGGCGAGAGCGGGTCTGCTGCACCATTTGGCTGTGGGGGACACAGATTGCTCTTCTGCCCACTCTTTGGTTTAACAGAGCAGATGCTGCCACTGCATGCTACTGCAGTTTAGACTGCTTTTTCCGTGGTCAACAGTAAAGTCTTCCAGCTGCAAACTAAAATATGAGCCCTTATCATGGCTAGTAGAGCCATGAAGCTGATTCCAGCTTTGCAGCAGTGCCAGTCTTACCTTTGTGATGGAAAACATGTACACTCTCCCTTCTTCTTTCTTCAGGTCATTCATAAACATTGGTGCGCCCACAAGCAGCACATCTGTCACAGAATCCCTGTTAACATCCACTGAACACACCACACTGCCAAAGTAGGAGCCAATCTGAAATCAGTAGTAAAAGAGTCATGTTTGTGTGTGGATTTTGTAAAGCATAATGTTTTAGCACCTGATTCCAAAACCTTACACTCAGAAATACTAATGAATGAAACTGCCCATTGGAATGAAATTACTCTATAACATACTCCAGTGTTTCAAGAATCATATCTTCACCGTGTGCCCCCTGTTTTGCCCAGTAGCAGCTGCTGCTATGGCTTTACCACTCAGTGATAAGAATGCAAGCAGAGAATAAGCAATGAGAGGTGTATTTTTAAATATTAAACTGTGCACATGAATCTACCTGACCTCTGTCTGGTCTACTCTCAGATTTGTCCTACAAATCAAACCCATCTAAATTCACTGCTGTTTTCCAAATGGAGAAAAAGAGAACGAGCTTCCAAGTATCTCTTTTGATGTCAGCTACTTCACAACTTCTCAGGCAGAACGGGGCTCACAGTTAGAAGTGTTGACAGAATGATACATTAAGTAGCTTTGTATATTATCTTTTACCACTAACTGGATGACCTCCTAAAATGCTGTTTGAGAGTTACAGTTAATCTCATTGAAATAGTCTAGGGGCAGAGAAAAGTTCAAGTGGATTTAAATTCATTGCAAGAAAGAGGAATATTCAAAACAAGTGCATTGCAAATTTACTGCTTTGTCAATAAACAGATGCCTGCAAAATCTGCATTCATGACCAAAATATACTTGCCTGCTCGCCTCTCTGGGACTGCACGATTGCAATATTACCATCCCCATCAACATCATAAACCACCACTCTGCCAGTGTAGTTGGATCTTGGTGCACCAGCAACGAAGTAGGCAGAGCTCTGAGTTGAGAGAACAGCAACAGAATAACCTGGGGAGAGAAACCAACATTTAACGTCTACGAGAGACTACTAACTACAAGGTGTCAGTTGGTTATCCACAAAGGCACAGAGGATGAGTCAATCTGGTATGTTAATCGCAGTGAATGACGCTTCTAGACAGTAAGTTGAACTGTCACATATGCATAAAATTTGCAGTAGTCTTCTGAAAGAACAATGACACACAGATCAAGTTGAAGCAGGCTTGGAGAGTAGCGTGGACTATAGTTTAGCCTACTCAGTAAAATGCAGACCACAAAAATGTCATGCTTATGAAGGAGATAGGAAAAAAGAGTGTAAAGAGTATTCTTGGAATGAAGAAATAAAGAGAAACATGAGACGAACGTTTGGGTCAGCCTTCAAACTAGTGAGGAACACCTAGCTCCTGCACAGCTTGCAGTGCATTTTCCCACAGCTCACCGAACCACAGCCTAGTGCTTTGACTGAACAGAACAGGGTATATCAATAGCTTGTCAGCTGAGAGGCTTAGGTTGACTGAACTTCTTTGAACATTTTAATCCACATACCCATTATTCTAACATTAGTTACTTTCAGGAAACATCTTTTAATACCTGCGAATATTTAAAAAATGTATTAATACTACAAGTCTAGCAGTTTTTACATATTTTACAGTTCTGTGGTTTAATTACAGCAAATTTATTTTAACAGAACAAAACAAAATCATCCTTCATAAAGACTATAGTTAAACTGAGTAACAAAATCCCAGTGACTGGGCAGAATATGCAGGTCTTTACCAAGCTACAGGACAATGCAAGTGGTACAGCATAAAAGGATTATGCCCAGGACATTACATATATTTGTCTTATTCAGATTTGTATTCAGGCACTTTTTCTAGGCAGAGGACATCACTGAAGAATAAAAGTTCAACAAGCAACAATAAACCAAAATTTTATTCTGCAAGGTAAGGCCACATGTTCTTAATACAGCATACACTTATTTGAAGTGAGGGGGTGCAGTGTAGGACAGGGGGAAATCTAGCAAGTTGTAATATGCTAGCAAACCTCTAGCTTGGACTTCCCCAAGCTGGTGACAGAGCTGGTACAGAGAGGTCTTAGTGGGGGACAGAAGGAGGTGGAAAGGAAGGGACAGAAATGGCAACAACACTGTTTGTTCCTAAAAATCTAAGGCCAAGAATCTAGAAGTGATTTGTGGAGAAGTGCTGAAGGGGAATTACCTGACCTTTTATGAATGACTCTAGAAAAGGGAGGAATGGAAGTCTGAAGAGGTCACACTCACAATAAAGCTACTGCTCTGGTTAGGTTTAGATTTATTCGTTGTGTTGGATGCAAGTAACGATAAGCCATGGGGAAAAGGACATTAGTTGCAAAAACAGTATCTCATTAAATAACTTCAAGGATAAGAAAGTCATAGGTGCTTCCTGTAGTAGCATTATTCAGGGATGAATCCCCAGAGCAGGCTTGTTGCAGGTATGTAGAAAACATTTCAATGAACTGAGAAGGTAAACTGACTGTCTTTATTTGGTCTCAAAAACATGCATCAGAAAATACATGGGGGTTACAAATAAGACCTCAGTTAAACTGCAGCAATATTCCTAAAATTATAAAAAAGGCCAAGAAAAGAGCAAGCACAGATTGAAATGATAGCAAGTCCATGAACTTCTCATCCATATGTAGTTGGGGAAGTACAAACATTGAAATATAGGGTACCCATAATGATCAGTATGATACACTGAGTAGCAGCCTTTTCAAATCTCATGACTTACTACGTCTCCAAAGCTTGACTTTTTTTAATCTTACCACATTGATATGAGTAGAATTTTTAAAAGACAATAAAAATTTACTTCAATGAACTGTTGACCAGTGAATAAAGTCTTTTTGGATACAAAATTTTTTTCATATCCTCAAATCAGTTCTTCACAGGAGTCGGGCTAGAGCAGAATTTTCCAAGTTTTTTTAATATCTTAATAAAGGTTTGATACATGTCCAGAGTTGTATTTTAGCCCCTTACCCAGATAAGAGCTGTGATTTCTATCCTGCAGAATCTTCTCAAACACATGGCTTGGAAAGGTGGTGAATCTGTCTGAAGACTCCTGAACCACTGTTCCACTCCAGTCATAGGCCCCAACAGCACCTAGCAGCAGAACATCCTTTAAAAAAAAAAAAAAAAAAACAAGTGACCAAAGCCAAAGTTTCTACATGCAATTTCCTACATCACAGTGCTTGAGGCAATGATGTACAATCTAATGAGTGCAAGTAGTTGCCTGGAGCTTATAGATACCACTGACATGCAGGACTTTACTGACCTATTAAGAGGGATTATCACCCCTCTAGTGCAAAAGAACAGGTGACTGCTTTATCTTCCAGGGAACTGCAGCTCAGGATAAATTTGGTTTACTTAAACACTGTGATAATTACCTACATCTGTCCACCCTGAAGCTGGGCTTGTCAAGTGGCTTGCAATGGCTTCCCACTCGTG